TATAAGCTGGGCTGTTACCTGTGCACCAGGTGCATCTCACTGGGTTTTAAACACCAGAGGCTCAGCCTCAAAACTCACGTCTACATGTCACCACAGTAGGACAAACCAACAGATAAGTTTGTCTTGCTTTTGGAGACCTCTCGTATCACCCCCCAACTGGGTCCCTGTGGCTGACTGTAGCTCTGTCTGGCTTCCTGGCTTTTAATCCCCTTTCTTCTGCTCTTCTGGCCTGCTGTTTTGTGCATCCCTGAGTTGTCCCTGGGGCTGACTGCTCCTCTGTCCTGGTTACTGGCTTTTTATCCCTTTTCTCCTGCTCTTCCGGCCTGCTACTCTGGGCGGGCCTGAGTTGCCTCTCCTCACCTAATCCCTTCGGCTGACTGCTCTTCTCTCTGGCTTCCTGGCTTTTCATCCCCTTTCTCCTGCTCTTCCCACTTGCTACTTTGGGCGTCCCTGAGTTGTCTCTCCTCACCTATAACCCTGGGGCTATACAGTTTAGGAGGCTAGAAATCTGAGTGAAAAGTGCTGGCTTGAGGGGCTAGATGAAAGTCTCAACCTTGGGCTCTTCTTCTTGCTCCCGGCCCACTGGAGCTGGAGGCATCTCTTAACTCAGGCAGCTGCTGGCTGCTGAGTTTGACAAACCAAGGGTTGACAAGTAAAATGGCATAGTCCCAAGAGTAGTAAGCAACTTGGCAGGCCACCAGTGCAAGTCCAGAAACAAATCCCAAGATCAGCAGGCAACATGGCAAGCCACTGATGACTCGGATAAATACAGGATCTAGATGTGCCAAGAAGCTCAATACCTTCCTCAAAGCTTCTTCTTATGTACTAGAAGCAGGCCACACCCCAAAGGCAGCTGCTTAGCTGCTCATAGCAGATTCCACCATGGAAGTGATTACTAATTTCATGATGGGGAATGACTGCATCCAGCTGTCCAGCCACTCAAAACCACAGCCCAGCCAAGTTGACACACAACCTTAATTACCACACTAGCCCCCTTAGAGTTTCTGATTCTGTGGTATATTCATTTTCTGTTACTGCTATAACAAATTGCCGCAAAATTAGTGATTTAACACAAATTTATAATCTTACAATTCTGTAATATGGAAATCTGACACAGATCTCACTGGGCTAAAATCATGGTGCCAGCAGGGCTGCACTCCTTTTCTGGAGGCTCAAAGGGAAAATCTGTTTTCTTGCCTTTTCCATCTTCTAGAGCCTGCCTGGATTCTTGGCTCACAGCCTCATCTTCCAAATCAGCACAGTTGCATCTCTGACCATTTCTTTCATAGTCACACTTCCTTCTGAATCTCTTCTTCTGCCTCCCTCTTCTACTTTCAAAAACGTGAGTTGATTTCCAAGGTGGTAAATGTTTACAGAAGTGGATTGCTCTGTCTTCCTTCTGTGGAGTGACTGGTGGGTTTGAACTACCAACGTTCTGGTTAGCAGTCAAATGCCTTAGGCACTGCGCCACTAGAGCTCCTTATACTGCAGGATTTTAAGGTTTGTGGACTAGCAGCCTTAATTCCATCTGCTGCCTTAAATCCTCTTTGCCATGTAACCTGACATATTCACAGATTCCAGGGACTAGGACATGGATATCTTTGGGGGGCTATTATTCCACCTACCACAGTAGACTGGGTGAGGCCCAAGAACCTACATTTCTATCAAGTTCTCAGGTGAAAATCAAGGAGACCACACCTTGAGAACCATTGGTCTAAGGAATGAGACAGGCTCAATCTGATAACTAAAGCTTCCAAAGGTGTTCAAGTGTCCAACTCTACTACACATTTTTCCTCAACAAACATACATTTTTATTTGACTTACATCAGAGCAAATGTTGTAGAGGCATTTAATATATCCTACCTCTCAATATTAGGAACGAGAGCTGCCCCTAGATGGCCCAAGAAGGGTTACCAAGGCTCTGCATTTAGAGACAGAAGATATACTAGGATACTAACTCAAAGACTGTGGTCTCTCTTGTGTCTGGTCTGTGTTAACCTGCCCCTATACTGCCCCCAGATAGGCTGGCCTCCCTCTTATCACAGCTGGTTCCCAGCTGTGGGCTGCAAGGCCAACTTCAGGCCTTTCATGCCCCTGCTGCTCTTGAGTTCTCTAACCACATCCCTGGTCAGTAGCCCTAGGTCACTGCCTCTTCTATCTCCCCAAGTAGCTCCAAATTGTCATCTAAAAATTATAAACACAGTGTCATTTCTATCGCCAGCTCCCCTTCATTCCCTCCTGCAGGCCCTCTCTTCTTGTCATCTGCTCTGCTTCCCCTACCCTGGGAATACACCTTTCTCTCTCTTTTAAATCCCCTTCATTCTTCAAAGGGAAACCTGTATTTTTCTGAGTATTTGGAAAGCATCATACACAAAAATCTTGATATTTAAACTTAAAATTACATATCCAATTCCTAAAACTTACTGATGGTGTTATAGTCCTAACCCACCAGCTACTCCTCAGAAGGAAGGTTGGCAATCTACTTCTGTAGAGATACTGCCTCGGAAACCCAAGGAGGGGTTGCTGTGAGTCGTGGGTAGTGAGTTTGTGTTTTTTGGTATTATGCTATCAAGGCATCACGTATTGGCCTTTTGTATATATTTCAAATTGCCTGACAGAGTCATAATAAAGCATTAAAACATAGCTTCCACAGAAAGGCTAAGGAAGGCATTCCCTTTGAATCTTTCTCTTTTCTATGATTACAGAGGTGAATATGCTCTGAGCGAATATACAGAAGTGAAAACCATCACCATCAAACTCGATGACAAGAACCACTGAAAGGAAAGGCAGGGTCCTTCTTCTAACATTTGACAGCTGAATGTGGCAGATTATACTTGCCAGAGAAAAAATGACATTTCTGACCTTCCTGGGATACTTTCTTCTGGAAACTTTAAATGTACTGGATTTGAGTGACTTTATTCTCCTCTCACACTAATGTTTTATTGATGAAGCTGTGCACAAAATTGCCATCCTACCTAGCAATGGAACTATTGGCCATTTCTGTTTTCCTCTTTAGACTGGGTCCCAGGGGACAGTGAAGATGCTCAAGGCATTGTTAACAGAAAATGGAATTTGCAGCGTCCAGCAGCTGCTTAAAAATGCTTTGCTGAATCTCATTGTATAAGAATTTGGGAAAACTCCTTGCATGTTCCATGAGCAGGGCCCTGCACCTGCAGTTTTCTTGGGTTCGCCTGTTCACAGAACAAGCTCCTCCTCTTTCTGAGGTAGGGCTGATGGTACCCTGCAGTCAGTAAAGCATTAACACTAAGTGTGGGGGGGGAAAAAAAAAAAAAGAAGGATGCAAAGATCTGATGTGGGAAGTTTTGGGGGTTTTGGGTATGTGTGGGTGAGTCTTTGAGGACTGCACATTTACAATGACCACAGGACTCAGCTTATAAAAATAATAATGCCTTTGGTATATTACCAAATCAACAACCCAAAGAGCTCACTCTAAAAATGTGTCATTGTCTATCTTAATCACGGCACTTTCTTAGGCAAGAAATATAGTTTTTATCACCTTTGCTGCTAAGGAGCCAATGCTCTGACAGTACAACAGCACAGCGAATCCTCCAGTAATTAAGTTCTGCCTTTTATAGACACACCAAAGCAAAAATTAATTCACTTTTACAAATTATGCATTTCTACCACATTCCTTAATGGTTTATGATAAACCTGCACACTTATCCTTTTGCCAGTTCTGTTACCCAATTTAGTAAAACACACAGGACTGAAAGACTGATGTCATAATATAGACCTGTTTTTTAAAAGTCCTATTTTGATGTTAATTTCCGATTAATAAACAAATAACACAGGGACTCCAAGAAGGAATTGGGTGTCCTACTAAATACAAGTGGTCTGAGGATTTTATATCAGATTGTGAAATTTCCTCTTTGTTTTTATCCAAATAACGTGCAATCCCATTAGCTTTGACTTGGAAAACTGAAAGTATTTCCATACAGTTTTGAAAAACAAAACCAAATTTAAATCATGTCATTCAGATACTTTTACTGTTACTAACTACCATATTTATACGCAAATAAATGCGTACTATACAGGTTTTTGCAAACTGTGCAACCCACTTACTAGTTAGTTTCCTATGCACACTATGCACATTATATGCATGTATGTGTTCTTTGCTTGGGCACAATGTGTGTGAAAAAATAGGGTAGTCCTTTTCTAATTGGAAAAATGATGCTTGTGTTTGACAATTAAGTGGAGGGGGATCAGTAATAAGATGAAGTTCAATGTCAGAACTGAATGTATAATGAAAATCTTGTATGAAATGGGGTTATCATCTTTGTCAGAAATATGCAATATGTACTTCACCTTCTCTCCATCAGTTAACACTTATATTACCAATAACTTGTTAAATCTGGATTTGACTTCATACACTGAATTACCAGGATTTTTATCTCAAGTAACTATAGACAATAACCTTGATAGTAATACATTAGAGGATTCTTATTCTTCCATTGTACAATAATGCCTTTAATATGAAATGCTACATTAATTATAATTGGTATAGGGTCACTATGAGTCAGAATCGACTTGATGGCAATGCATTTTGGTATAGTTAATGTATCTTTTTATAGCTGTAAGTACACAGAGGTGGTATATTTAACCTTCTGTAATATACTGTATTTAGAAATGGAAATCTGTATAGTGTTTGATTTCACTTCTTTAAAGGTTTACCACTGTGGTATGGTTTAAAATCTATCAGCTTGGGAATTCTGGTCCTAACTACAGATTGAATACAGCAATGCAACGATGATAAAATAAAATTGGATATTTGAGAAACATTTTGTTCTTTTCATTTGAGGACCAAACTCATTTTAATTCTATGGCTGACCTTTCTCTTTCTAGATCTTCTGTACATAATATCTTGTAACAAAGCAGGATTAATAACTTAAGAAAAAAATTACTGTAGGTGTTAACCAAGGGCTGAGTAAACAAGGGCACCTCAGTGAAATCGAAGTCCTCATACACTGGGTTTTTGTAGATTTTACCTTAAAAACAAGCATTAAAAATCTACAAATTGGGAGTTCTGGTAAGATGGCGGACTAGGTAGAAAGACTGCACAGACCCTCTTCAACAAAGAAAAGGAAAACCAATTAACACAGACACAGAAGATAATCTTGGACCCCTGAACCTTGAAGGGAAGAATATAGAAGTGGACTAAACCCCAACTAGCAGAAGAATCTGCATGAAAATGCCAGAAAAGGAGACAGACGGAGCTGTGCTCTGGCAGCGATCCTGAGCGATCCTGACGGCACGGCACAAACGGCTTGGAGAGTTTCGAGTGGTGGTAGGACCTAAGAATTAACCTAAAAATCAGCCCTGCTAGCCAGGGACTGCATGGAGGACTACTCTGGTGGCTGGGGAATAAATGGAGAAGGTGAAGAGAAAAGTGGGCTGAGCTGTGGACTTTTGCCTGTCTGGAGGATGCTGCCATTTTGAATGTTTACAAGTGGCTTCACCATTTTGGATATTTAAAGAGGCAATGCTCTCACAGATTCCAGGGGCTTAAGAACATGTTCTGCTTGCCAGCAACCCCAAGGACATTCCAGACCTGCAAGACTGAAAAGGTGCAACATTATTCTTGTTGCTCTTATACCCCACACCCGCTTGGTGAACAAAGGTGTGGCCATCCCCTACTCCCACCTACCTTCTGGGCCCACAGGAACTCCATCACAGTCTGTGTGCTCAGATGGAGTCTAGGTGCCCTGCCCTGTCCTCCACCAATTTTTTTTTTTCTCTTTTTAAAATTTTTATTATTTATGTTTTTCTTTTTCGCTTCTTTTTTCTGGTGATTAGTTTGCTTGTATTTGTCTGTTTTAAAACAACTATTATTACTAATACTTATGTCCTTTTACTATTATTCTTATTTTTCCCCTCCCAGGTCCTAGTTTTCAGCTTTTTTTCTTTTCCCTGTTCCTGGTTGAAATTTTTTTTTTTTTTAATTTTCTCTTTCTTTTCTATCCCTTTATTCTCTTGGTTAACCCCATTCATTCCTTGCTTTTCTGTCTGAATTTTTACAACTTTTTTCTTCATTATTCTCCTCCTCTACCTTTTTTCTCTTAGGGCCCTATCCCCAAATATTGCAGGTATTCTTGTTTTTTTCTTCTCCTTCCCTTTTTCCTTTTTTTTGGGTTGCTGTTCCTACGTGATTACATAGTGTATTTTTGTCCATGTGCTTTTAGTTTTTTGATTATTATTCAATTGTAATTT